TGTTCGCCGATAGGGGCCCCATGGCCCCCCCCCCCCCGCCCAGGTAGGTGGGGTTTCGCTATCGGGGGTCTATCGCCGATCTATCGGCGATTCATCGCCGATTCCATGTCGATGTTCCCCCCCCCCCCTGTGTCAGCCCCTCCCTATCGTTGCCCGTCATGGGGAAGCCGTTCAGTGATTTGGCCTCGGAACTCCCCAAATGGGCCAGAAGCGCCAAAAGCCAGGTCTGCCGTGGCTGGCGTTTCTTCGGGTGGCTGCAGTTCCTCACCACACACCCGAACCCAATCCGAAGGCCCCAAGGTGCCCTCCCAGGTGGGGGAGGTGCCGGCGAACATTAAAACAACACATGTGGAACCCGTATTCCCCCCCGCGAAATTTAGGGTTTCGAGTTGCATGGGTGGTCTGGTATGTAGTCAGTTCCGGTGGTGAGAGGGGGATCGGGCCAGCCGCCCCGCGGCACACATCTTTGAGCCTGATGAGCCAGGTCCCACTTAACCTCAGTCTTAAGTCGGGCGCGTCCGTCGACAGGAGGAATAATTCAAAAATTGGCGAAATATAGTCAGGGGAAAATGTTTAAAGTATTTTTTGACTATGCTGTAATGTGTTTTGACTGTTTTATTCTTCGCCCAAGCTCTGCCTGCAGGAGGACATGCCCGACCTGACACTGAGCCTGATGAGCCAGGTCCCTCCTAACCTCAGTCCCGCCAACGCCGCCTCGTGGTGACCGCTTGCGACAGTGGCCCGGTGTGCGCATCCGAGAGGAGCGATGGGAACGAACAGGACGAGGGGGAAGGTCAGGGGGGGAGTTCAAGGTGCGAGGCTGGCTTTTGCGGGGCTTCCCAGGAGTGGTGTGCAATTTCTGGCCAGGTTTTCAACATCAGGTTGCACTGGTCGGCCGTGGCCAGTGCTTGAGAGTCTCAGGCTCTGTGCACCTTGCGCAGAGTGTCTGTGTTGAGCATTAGGTTTGCAATGCTCCGTGATGACGCATCGATTAGTTTAGGGAGATAGTGAAGCACAGGCAGGAATGATCAACCATGCGAGGCTTTGGCATGCGAGTCAAATGAGGATGTAACGCAAGAGGGAAGTTTCCAGGTATTGCGTCATGTTTGGCGGCCGCCATCCCTTTACCAACACTGCAGGCCACGACTCTTGCCTTGCTGTCTCTGATCTGGCTTGTCGCATCTTTCCCACACCGCTTCAGTATGTCCTGAGTCTTGCTGCCAATGTTTGATATTGAAAGCCAGGCGGGCGCTTCCTTCCTTGTCAGCAGTTTTGTCGCTTCGCGTCTGCTTCTGCAGCCATGTTCTTTCTTTGCGTCGCGCCGGCGTCGCTCAGTTTTGCGATCACTTGTTTCACACAGCTTTTCGTCGGACATGGCTGTATTTATAGTATCCATGCATGGGGTCGGCACATGCTTCGCAGGCACGGTCTGCTGTGTGTATTCGTTGTTCTCGTTTGTTGCGCGTATTCCTGCTAATCCTCGAGCCAGCTCTCATTGTTGAGCGAAGTTAGTTTCTGGTGATGTGCAGCTGGCGCATGCGATTCTCTTACGTTGTAGGATGGGCGCGGAAGCGTTTTACAAATTGGTCTGCCGTTGTTTCCCCGCGTTGGTCCATCAATTGCCAAACCTATAGCACAGGGGAAAGCTCAGCGCTTCAAGATCATCTCAGCTGCTGGCTGATCAGCTGAGCTTTGCGGCTTCTGCAGTGTGCTCAAAGCCAGAGTAGAGCTCAGTGTGCACATTTGCGCGATGACTGTTGCCAATGTGGGAGTCCATGCAGTAGTCGTGTCCATGGCATGTGGCCTGCACAACTGGTCCTCTCGAGTCGCGTGTGGAATGCGGCGTCTGGCCGCAGAGGCACCACTTTCATGTGAGATCCAGCGTAATTGCATATCGCAGGCCTGCTGGACTTGAGGCTGCTATGCCAGGCGAGCATGGACTTCAGAGAGCCGGGCATGAAGGGCACCCTAGGCGGCTCTCCTGGGGTCAGCGGGGGCCTGCTTTGGAAGTCAAGGGCTGAAGGTGAGAGTTTGATCCCCGCGCTCATTCCTCATCCTTGTCCCATCATCCTTCTTACTATACTCACTTCTCCTTCACCCTTACCCTATTCCGCACTGTTCCGTAAACGTTGATCCACGTATTCATATCACTACCCCTGGTTTTCAATGCACGTTTTCTCCGTTTTGAGCATCCTCGCGCAGCTGGACGCGCCGCCGTCGAGCTGGAGGCAGTTAGAGAACTCCGCGCTGCAGTCCCTCTACGTCGGCATTGGCTGGTGGGCACCAGCAACTGCCCTGCAGTTCCTGTCCCTCCTGGGTTTTCTTGGCGCGCCTGTCTGACTTGCCGTCCACGGCGCTGGCCGTCAAGTGCCGGGCTGGCCAGTGGGAGGCGTCGGCAAAGGGGCGCTTGCATGTTGCAGCGCGCGCGCAGAGAGAGACTTCGCGCAGAGAGACTTCGCGCAGAGCGCCTCGGGAGGAGGGCACCGTTCTCCCAAATGGGAAGCTGGAGCAGTTGGTTCGACAGCTGCATCCTTCTGCATGTGGACGTTGCCGCAGCTACTTCCAAGATCGAGCCCTGAGCGTCCCCGCCGGGTGGCGCGCTCGCAGCCGGCACGGACGACGCATCTCTCGTGCAGTTGGCGTGACAGCCAGCCTGCGCGCGCCTCACGGAGCCCGACCGAGCCCTGCCACTGTCGCGCTTCCTGCGGCATCGCCCGTGCCGCTGGGCCTGCGACCCGTCGGCGCAGGAGGTGGCCAACCGGCTCCTGCGAACGTGCCCCGCTGGGGCCCGCACCGCCTCCTGCGTTGGCCGCGCGCCTGCGCTCGCTCTGGGGTGATGGGGTCACTGTTCAGGAGGGAACAAAAACACACAGACACAATGAATCGTCGATTCCCCGGAAAAGATTGGAAACTATGGGAGTTGGGGGGGAAGACGAAAACCTAGAAAATACGAGGAAATATGGGGGATCCTGTTATTTGTGTCTACTTTGTTGTGTGTCCCAGGGCCTCTTCACAGGTGCTGTGTCCAGTGCGCGGGCGGCGAGGCTTCCGTGGAGCACCGCGCCAGCTGCCCTTGCCCCATGCGCCGCTGCCGCCGCAACCGACCAGCTGGGCCTTGCTCGGCCCTCGAGTGGGCCCTGGAAACGGCAGGGCCCTTCTGCCACCGTCTTCGAAAAAGTGCCTCTTGGAAATGGAAGCCGTATAAAAGAACGGCGACCCGAAACGGCAAGCAAAATTGTTCCTGGATTGGAACAGGAACTGGAACCGGAAGAACAACAACGGCGACGGAGACAGGAAAACAGCGGCGACGGAACCGGCAAGAAAAAGGCGAAGCGGAACCGATAATGAAAACGGCCCTGTCGCTTCCAGGGCCCACGACGGCCCGGTAGGCCAGCTTCCCAGGAGGCGCGGCATGCAAGGTTCCTGTGTCTGGCGGCGCTTCACCGCGAGGCGGCAGCCTCAGAATTGCAACGCCAGGCTCCCGTCACGGGCGACGTCTGCCTGACCCACTGCTGGTGCCAGCACGCCGCGGGCTGTAGCCCCGGTGCCTCCAGGAGCGCACGGCGAATCACCCGCCGTGGGGTTCTTGAGTGAGTGTTCGGTTGGCGTCGTAATGTTCTGCATCGTGTTGGTTGTGCTTCCCCTCGTCGTCGCCTCCCCCTCCTCCTCCTCGTCCTCCTCCTCCTCGTCCTCCTCCTCCACCTCCTCCTCCTCGTTGCGCGCCCTGGGACCCGCGGACTCTTGAGATACTGGCGCGCCTCCTTCTCCTCCTCCTCCTCCTCCTCCTCCTCCTCCTCCTCCTCCTCCTCCTCCTCGTTCTCATCCTCCTCGTCCTCCTCCTCCGCCTCCTCCACCTCCTCCTCGTCCTCGTTGCGTGCCCTGGGACCCGTGGACTCTTGAGATACTGGCGCGCCTTCTCCTCCTCTCGACGAGCGCGTTCCACTACTCGCAAAATAGCTACTCGCAAATGGCCTGAATCCCCCGCAGGGGATCTGCGATACATTATACCAAAGCAGACAGTTTCTTTTGTTGACGTTTGCGAGTAGGTACTTTGCGAGTAGTGAAACGCGCTCGGCGATCCTCATCCTACCCCAGCCGTCCGGCCGTTGGCGCACGACCGCACGTGTGCAGCAGGCGCTGCAGGGTTTCCCCTGGGAGGTGGGCCAGACAGCGGACCTGGCACGTGGGCGGTGCTGTCTCGATGGTGGTGGTGTTCGGCTTCTCTCATCCCTCCCCGTTCTCTTTCGCGCCCCTTCTTTTCACGCCTGTCGTTAAGAGTAGGTAGTTCCTGGATTCCCAGATCCCGATCTGCTCCCAGCGCCTCCCTACTTCCAAGAATCGGTATGGCCTTGAGGTGCTCTGCGATGCTCTGGCAGGGCCTGGACCCAATCTGCTCGATCCACTTGGGTGCGGGTATAGCCCCCATGAGGGGAAGCGGATCCAATGCAACCGAGCGTGCCTATTTTTGGCCGTACTGATCGGAGCAGGGGCTGAAACTGATGTGTGTTTGCGTGCAAAAAAAAAAATCTGCTCGATCCACTTTCCTACTTCATGTCTCTGCGTACTTCTGCCGGCCCGCGTGCACCTCTCTCTCCCCCACCCTCCGGAGCCTCGAGGCCGCAGCGCCGCGCTCGGCACGAGAGGGGCCCTGCCGCGTGGGGCGCGCTGGCGCCGCGAGGCCGAGTCCGCAGGCTCACTTTATTCGGGGCTGGACAGAACCCCCACCCTGACACGTCGATTAGTGAATTGTCCGTTTTCGGTTCTCGAGAGGGCGCCGCGGCCGTCATTTTCCAGGCTTGCGCCCGCCAGGTTTGGGCCCCAGGTCGTTGTCACTAAACCACGTTTTGCTAAAGGGGGTTCTGTCCATCCCCGATTTATGGGGTTCCTGCGCTTGGTCTGGGAGCTCCGGGGGTCAAGAGCTGCCCCCTCCTTTCCGGGGAAGCGTAAGACTCGAGTGCGCCGGGACCCGGGTCTGCCCGCGTTTTTTTTTGGACGAGCGCGTCCCGGGCTCTGGACGGTCCGGTGTTCGTTGGGGGAGGCGCGTGCAGCGGGCGGTCGCGCCAAAGGTCAGGCTGGGCCTCGGCGTGTTCATTGAGGGCCCCGTCAGACCAGTCCGAGTTCCCCCGAGCCCGAGTCTTAACGTCTCCCCGCGCGGCGCGTGGGCCGATGCTTGAGTCGGGCCTGTCCCTCTACAGGGGGAAAATCCAAAAATTGTTATAAAATAGTCGGGGGGCTATTTTTGAGTATTTTCGGGCATCTTTTCAGCATTCTTGGGGTATCTTTTATTTTCTTCGTCGGAACTCCCCCCTGCAGGGGGACACGCCCGACTTACGGCGAGGCGCGCGCGCCCCACGCGCCGCGCGCGAAGCGTGGCGCGCGCGCGCGGGGCGCACCAGACGCAGGTGCCGCCGCTGCGAGGGTCGAGGCCCAGGCCCTCTGCCCGCGCTCTCCCCGGGAGCCTCGAGACAGGGGTCAGTGCAGACAGGGGTCAGCCAGGGCACCAGATCCTGCAGGATCCTGCGAAGGCCCCCTCTGGCTGACCCGGGTCAGCGAGCCGCTCGTGGCCGCGAGGCGGCCGCGCGTATTGGCTGACCCGGGTTTGCGAGGGCCTGCGTTGCAGTTTTTTTTTCCCAACCATCCTGTGGTGTTGGGTCCTCGTTTTGAAGAGACAGCGCCCCGCGTCCCACCTCCTCTCCTCCTCCTCCCCCTCCTCGCCCTCCTCCCTCCTCCCCCTCCTTGCCTCTGCTCTCGGCACACCCCTCACACGTTTCGTAGCCCCATAGGGAGCTCCACCGAAGGTCCCAGTGGCACAGCCCGCATGCGGTTCCCCCACCCAGGGCAGCGTTTCGTAGCCCCATAGGGAGCTCCACCGAAGGTCCCAGTGGCACAGCCCGCATGCGGTTCCCCCACCCAGGGCAGCGTTTCGTAGCCCCATAGGGAGCTCCACCGAAGGTCCCAGTGGCACAGCCCGCATGCGGTTCCCCCACCCAGGGCAGCGTTTCGTAGCCCCATAGGGAGCTCCACCGAAGGTCCCAGTGGCACAGCCCGCATGCGGTTCCCCCACCCAGGGCAGCGTTTCGTAGCCCCATAGGGAGCTCCACCGAAGGTCCCAGTGGCACAGCCCGCATGCGGTTCCCCCACCCAGGGCAGCGTTTCGTAGCCCCATAGGGAGCTCCACCGAAGGTCCCAGTGGCACAGCCCGCATGCGGTTCCCCCATAGGGAGCTCCACCGAAGGTCCCAGTGGCACAGCCCGCATGCGGTTCCCCCACCCAGGGCAGCGTCTCGTAGCCGAGAGCTCCACCGAAGGTCCCAGTGGCACAGCCCGCATGCGGTTCCCTCACCCAGGGCAGCGTTTCGTGGCCCCATAGGGAGCTCCACCGAAGGCCCCAGTGGCGCAATTCGCATGCGTTCCCCCCCAACCAGGGCAGCGTTTCGTGGCCCCATAGGGAGCTCCACCGAAGGTCCCAGTGGCGCAGTTCGCATGCGTCCCCCCCACCCAGTACAGCGTTTCGTGGCCCCATACGGGGCTCCCCCGAATGCAATACCCACAACTGCATATGGTTGGGTCCTTCGCCAGGCTAATTTTTTCCTGCATTGCAGTTTTTGGTTTCTTGCTGACCCGGGTCTGGATTGACCCGGGGTCAGCAGATCCCCGACCTCCCCTCGTGTGCCTCGCGTGCCCGCCCCTTTGTCCCTCGATTCGCGGCCATGGGGGGGGCAGAGTTTGTGGAAGTCGATTGGTGGGGAGGAAGCATGCTGCCATGAGCATGGTGCCGCTGCGAGGGTCGAGGCCTGGGCCCTCTGCCCGCTCTCTCTCCCCGTGTGTGCCTCGCGTGCCCGCCCCTTTTGTCCCTCGAGCAGCCATTGGAGGGGGCAGAGTTTGTGGAAGTCGATTGGTGGGGAGGAAGCATGCTGCCAAACATAAGTTCCGGATGTCTTAAAAAAACGTGTCGAACATCTGTGTTAGAGAT